CAAATGCTGGCGGCGTTGTGGGGAGAAAGGAACCCTTCTCCATTGTTGTTGGGATTGCAGACCGGTGCAACCACTGTGGAAATCAATATGGAGATACCTCAAAAAATTAGGATTAGAAATTCCATTTGACCCACCTATTCTTCGGCAGGGTATCTTTCAAAAAGAATTAAAAGAATCCTACCACAGTGATATATGAGTACCCATGTTTTTTTTGCTGCACAGTTTGTAATAGCTAAAACTTAGAAACAGCCCAATTGCCCATCAACTGGAGACTGGATAAAGAAGATATGGTTGTTTTTTTTTAAATAAAATGGAGCACTACTCAGCCATAAAGAATGAGAAACTAGAGACATTTATAGCTAAGTGGATGCACAGTGAGGCCATACTCTTAAGTGAAATAAATAGGACACACATGTGCAAACACCTAATAGTTTCTGGTGTGAAAAACTAAAAGTGTAAATAAGGATCAACATGTATAATTGATATTGTGAAACAGGAAGAAAAGGTCTAAAGGAGTAGGGGAAGTAGAAGAGGTAGGGGAAAGAAAAGAAGGGAAAAGAAAAAATATGAGAAAAGGAAAACCATGGAAACAAAGTCTTTGTAAATAGGAAGGGTGGAAGAGTGAAGGGAGGGCAGGGGAACGGGGAAAAAATAAGAACCAAGATACGTCATGTAAAGGTACAAGATCCCAATGATGAATGTAATTGTATTGTACACCTAAAATGGACCAATAAACTTAATGGAAAAAGAAAAGAAAAATACACGTTTTGGCAAAGGGCATTTTCCAATTTTTTTTTCAGTAATCTATTTTTGGTTTTCTCAAAGCTTTATGTACATCTATGTAGTCACAAAGGATTCACTCTAGACTCCTATTCTGTAGGAATCAGCTGTACTTTGTCTTTCACAATGGGATTACTGCAAATGTCATTTATCAACCGACAAAGCTGAAATGCCTCATCAAAGAATAATCTGTCTACTTACAGTAAAATCACAACATTTTTTTTTCTGTGCTAGGGATCAAACCCAGGGCCTAACATATGCTAGGCAAGTGTTCTACCACTGAGCTACATGACCAGCCCCAATATCACTAATTCTTAAGTATATGTATGTGGAAAAATCATAATAAGCTTTAAATAATTGCTTTTTCTCTTTTGGTTCCCTGTAGATTGTGCTTTACTATTTGCTGGGAGTAGTTTCCTCAAAGGAATGCAGATGATGTGACTATTACACAAAACAATAGAAGATGGTTAGGAATAAAAGTTTGGCTTTCAAAAGTTGCATTATGTATTTCCAGACCAAACATAGGTTATATTTTAATATCTGCCATTTGTGTTATCTATACTTGTTCCCCTCTATTAGTAAGAAAACACAAGTTAAATCATCATGTCAGCTCTATTCTGCTGGGATTCTCAGTGCTGTAAATAGGTTTTAAAGCATACACAAAAATTATCAATTTATTATTTTTTATAAAAAGCAAGGGCAATTTTTCACAGTGATAATCCTCATAACCTCTGCATACTCCAAACAAGTTTATTCTATTTTTTATAAATGTTTGTTATGGCAGGAAAATAGTACCATGTTGTTTCAATTCTTGGACAATAATTTGTTTGTTTATTGGTTAATGGAAGGTGATGGAACCCAGGGCCTTGCACATACTAGGCAAGCACTTCACCAATGAGTTACTCCCAGCCCAATCACTTCTATTAGAATTAGTCAGTTACAAAATGCAATAGAGATAACGTTTTTAGAATTTATTTTTTAAAAAGAGCAGAGAAATTCTGAATTGAAGCAGTTACATGATAGATGTCTGGAATCACTTACCTAGAATAACTAGTTGATTCCCACTGAAGTTAGAATCTAAGGACAGAGCTATGGATAAAATGTGGCCTGGAAAGGAACGAATTACTTGAATGTTTTCTGCATTGATCTTCCTTTTAAACAGCCTCTGATCAATGTATATGAAAACAAAACCTTTTCTTTGAAATAGTAAAAGTGTGTGAGTGGTCCCGAGAAAATACCATGGAGAACCCTGGGCCTCCCACAAAGCCAAGTTCGGGACTTGGGTGGTTTTTGAAGAATGCTACTATAGAACAGGTTGAAGGTGAACATGAGCAATATATACTCATTTTCTGAGGGAAATTTTTATTTTCCCAAAGACAATTAAAATACAACATGAAGTGCTCACTTCAGCAGCACATATACTAAAATACAACATGAAGTTATTTTAAAAATTTCTAAAATGTCATGCATATTTTTTTTTTTTTTGGTACCGGGGATCGAACTTGGATCCTTGCGCTTGCACAGCAGGCGGCGAAACCACTGAGCTAAATCCCCAGCCCATGTCATGCATATTATATATGAAAGAAAGTTAGCAACTAAATATTTTGTCATATTAATCTTCTTTAACAAATGATTTGCTGTGTCAATAGTAGTAAGTTATTTCCAATGAACATTAGTGCACATTAAAAAAACTTGAAAGAACATGCTCTATGTTTTATTGCTAGGTAATAAAATATCTTCAAGATGAGAGTCTGTAAAAAGTACCTGGATTTTGCCAGCTTTTAGGGCAGCAAACATGCACTGAGCTGTATTAAAGGCATGCCTCCAATTGTGATAGGCAACGTTCTTTCGATAATTCTTCTTAACACTTAGAATCCATCTGCAAAGAACCTTTAGGACATAAAATACAAGGAAACAATAGCTGTCAACACTTATCACACACCACCTGTCTCACAGGCACAGTACAAAACATTCACATTTCATCCTTGTGACTGTGAGGAAGGCAGTAGCAGTTTGAGCCTTTAACAGCTGAGGTAACTTGGGGGTGGGGCCCAAATTCAAATTTGAGCAGTTTGACTCCAGAGCTCTGCATGCTAAATTAGATGGAACATACACAACACCTCCCAGAAAGGTATTTTTGGCATGGGAAGGACACTGACTAGCTTTTTACAAGATATTATGTCCCTGTATCCTCAATTAGGAGAGTCTAGAAAATCACATATGTATTAATTCACCTTTAGAGAACAAGTTCTTCATGTTCCCAAGTTGTGCACTTGCAAAAGTGTTCAAGCGGAAGGCTCTGAGGGTGGACTGGGGACAAGGGAGACAGCACATGTGCAAGGACAAATTGGAGCTGCAAGTCCTAACACCACCGTTAGATTTTTGTCCTTTTAAACTATGCTGAAGTATTAAACACAGTTACTTCTTGGCTATAAAGGAGTAAAAATTTTAAGATAGCATATGAAAAATAAAGCCTGGGGCCCCATATGGAAAAAATGTACTTTAAAAGGTGGTAGGGGTAGACGACAAAAGACCAGATTGATCAGCAAGTCCCACAGCTGGGTTTAACTCAACTTTTAAGTGCTGTATTAAGTAAAATCCCTACGGACTCATGGACCCAAAGCATGGTTAGTCTGTCTCTGTTTTAGCATCAGACTCTATCTCTTTTCAAATCTGAATAATTTTCTATACTTTTGGGATTTTGTAAAAATAAATCTGTGCTTCTCCCTGCATATATCACTGTGTATGCTCCAAACACAAAGAGCACTGCACAGGGGAGTAGAAAAAGTGAAAGGGTAAGGGATTTTCATTTGCCAGCATTCAGCACACTGTGGCTAGCTATGGAAGGAGGCCACAACCAAGGCTTCATCATGGTTGCTAGAAACTGGGTAAAGCGGATTTGGCAGGAAATCAGTGCTTTCCCATCTTTCCTTTGCTTTTTAGGTCTTTTTTGTCCCTGTTTTGTAACTTAGTTCCTAGGGAGTTCTAATGACGAAGAACATGGGTGTCCCCTGACCTTTCACGCTCTGAGTTGTATTTCAAGTAGAAACTTTCTTCTTGCCTAAGACTGACATGTATTCACCCCAAGTATAGTGCAGGTTTGACCATTTCTGCATACAGTCTGTCATGAGGATGACAGATTAATCTTTCCAGGAGAAATTTAAGGAAAATTTGTAAGTTTTCTTTGATATGTTTAGAAACTACAATGGTATCCTGTAGAAAATTACTTGTGATTCATTAAAGCAATAAAAAAAATTCCTCAGAAATTTAACATACGGACATCTTTCTGTTACTTCGAAATTTATAGATAATTAAATATATGCTATATATTTAATATAGTATAGATAACTAAATATATATGCTATAAAATCTGAATGACCAAATTGACTGTATGAAACGTAATTCCAGATAGGCTACTGTACTACACATCTTAAAATGGACTTAATGGAATCGGACACTTAATGTCTACAATAGTTGGTAATTACATCTAAGTACAGTTTAAAGTACTATTATCAGGATGGTCTCAACAGCACACAGGAAAATTCAGGTTAGCTTGTATATATCTGGCAACCCTGAGATGGGTGGTAACATGGGATTTTGCACAGGACTATGGAGCAGTCATTTGCAGCATAGATTAGATGGCTCTAGAGAGTGCCTTCAATAATACGGAGTCTTCAACAGTTGTGGAGGCTTCCCTGACTGGCACCCTCAAGATGTCATATGAACAAGAGAAGAAAGAAACTAAACAGAGCTCAGTGCCTTCCTAGAAACCCAATCCAGTGAATATAAGAGAAGTGTGTGTATAACTACAGAAATCAACATAACATTGGGAGCACGAATTTATGAACTGCAAACAGTAGTGCAAAAGGCACAATGTCAATCCTAGAGCTCTCCTGCAGAGATTTTTGAGTCAGGCTTTAAAGAAAGAAGAGAGCAGTATATGGTGGTGTAAAATGCAGTGGACATAATTGAGAGGATAATGCACATAAAAGACAGAAGTTGAAAATAAGCAGCACATGCAGACTTGTTGGACCAGAGACAAGACTCTGCTTCAGAGATTGGCAAGAGGCATGGCTGTGAGCATTACAGAGTAACTCAAGATTCTGAAGACAAGTGGAGATTTAAAGCTCTACTTTTCAATATGAAATACCTTTTACCGGGGCAGCTTCATGATGTTAACATCCTCTCTAGCAATAGCATTTTAATTGTATCATCTTAAAATTATACTGATAATAATACCAGAAATAAACAAAACAGAAGAGGCAGTAAGGCAAGAAGACCAATCAAATGGTCAGGCCGATGGGGCCTGGAGTTGGAATAGTGTTTATTCAAACAAAAAAAGGAAAGTAGATAAATTAGACATTAAGAAGAAATATTTTTCTAAAGATAAAAATCCAAGAAAAGTTAAGAATAAAGATTGTTACAGAAGCTCTGAGTGATTATCTTCCTTATTCAACCCTCAAATGCTATCTAAAAGGCAAATAAGAAATCAACTTATTTCTGGGCAGGCCATTTCAACCTTTCGAGAGAATTATTACAAGTTTCCAGTGTGGGAGCTCTCAAAAGAAATGAAAAGGAACAGAGATGCTATTAGACATTGAGATTCTGACAGCTGTAAATGAGATCTTCACCCCATTAACAGAAGAGGCTTTAAAAAGTGAGCCCTATAGCATACCACAGAAAAATATGATGGTGGTGACAGCCATAGTAAAATCTGGCCTCTAAATGGGATAACTGACATGTGCTCTACACCTGTGTATTAAGCAGAATATCAGACACAAGTATACACTTGCATAGAAATATCACATAGATGAATAGATGTCATGGGCCTCACATCAGGAAGTAACACCATTAACTCTAATTCACAGAGAAGGAAATGGAGAATATGAGAGATTAATCGCCAAGGGAATAAAAGCTGATCACTGGAACATTTGTGACTCAAAATCCATTGCTTTTCTACTGCACCATGCTGCCTTGATTTCTTCACTTATAAAATGGGGATAGCAATAACAATCAAAAGACCTTTCCCAAGAGCTTGTTAAAATAAGTAAATAACAAGAGGGAAGTATTATTAGTCCATGGACAGTTGTTTGTGGTTTTGATTCAAGAAAGAGTAATACAAACTGGTCAAATTTTAAAAAGAACTAGACCTCATCTCCAGTAGTACTATATGAAGCTATGTTAATTTTAGCAATGTTTATTCACCCTTAGTTTTCTTTCCTAAATGAAAGGTCTTTTAGAATAAGGACATGGTGGAAATGTGAAACAATGCTGAGCATACAGAGGGCACTGAATGAAATTTTCTTGTATAAATTAATAGAAAGCTAAATAGTGGAAGGTTTCAAGATACTTAAATTTCCAAATAGGAAATATGTACACGGAGAACAGATAGGCAACTGATTAAAAAAACCCCCCAAAACTTTACAGGCAAGGTTGCTGAATTATTGTTCTAGACAGCCCTTTCTGTCCTTTTTCTGTTTGTTTGTTTTTTGGTGGTGGTATTGAACTCAGGGCCTTCCCATAGAAGGCTCTTTATATTTTTTATTTTGAGACAGGGTTTTACTAAGTCAGTAAGTTGCCCAGGTTGAATTTGAACTTGTAGTCTTCCTGCCTCAGCCTCTCAGAGTGTGCTAGCAGGCCTGGCCTTTCTTATTCTTTTTATTCTTTTTTTTTTTTTCAGTACTAGCAATCAAACCAAAGGCCTGGTGGTTGCATGATAGACAATTGCTCTACTTTTGAGCCACATCCTCAGCCTGTTTTGGAGCAAGGTTTGCTAAGTTGCCCAGGCTGGTCTTGAACTTGCAATCCACCTCCTGAGCAGCTAGGATTATAAGTGTGCATCATCACATCCAGGGCACCCTTACTCTTTGATTCTCTATACCCAGCTGTTACGAGACAAAACAGAATTCTCGAATATCTCCAAACCAATATTACAAGGTATTGATTTAAGTCTTGCTATTTTCTGAGAGGCAATTAAGGCAACCAACAGGTATAAATAAGTTTTCATGTTCATCCCAGGTGACCCTGTTCCAGCTAAGAGTCTGGCCTCACATCAAGTGCCTGTACTCCCTCACTGCCAGAGCAGCTCCCTCTGTTTTGGTCCTTCTTTGTACATTGTTATCACAATCTCTGCAACTGGATCATGTTACTTCCCTGCTTAGAATTCCTCAGTGATTCACATTATTTTCAGGATGAAATCCAAATTTCTCTGAATGGCTTACAAAGTTCTATATAATCTGGTTCTTCATTTCCTCTCCAGTTTCTCTTCTAATCACCCTCATCCTCGACTGGCTGATGTGTCCTGTGACCCTGCCTCTGCTCTTGCTGTTAGCAACATGCTTCTTTACTCTTTGACCTGGGGCTTGATATGTGGCAGGAGCCCGATAAATGTCTTTTTACTGGTTGATAGCTTGCATGAGATGACAGTACAGTAGTCACTGAAATGTAAATATCCCTATATTCCATACGTGTCCAAAGCTAATTCTCTCTTACAGGCACACATACACACCATGTGAGCGCATGTGCCCTTTCCACAGGACATCACTGCCTCCTACCTCATATTTCATCTGGAAGTTCTGCACAAGGTTGAGGTCAGTGAACATCCGAATTGTGCACAGTGCTGTTTCCAGATCCGACAGCTCAAAGTCACTGAAGCTGAAGTCAGTAATTTTAAGGGTCTGGGCAGATGGTACCACAGCAGCCTAAGGCAAGATGAGAAGAAGAAAAGAAATAAAGCTGTTAATTAAGGGCAGTGGTGATTTACAAAGCTTTTTTACTTAGCTACAGGGAAACAGCACACTGTATTTAGTTTTGCTTTTCAATGTTACTACACTGGGGATATAAAATGACCTCTAAAGGCCCAAAAATTAAAAGTTTGTGGTCTCCAGCATGGTTTTACAAGAAAGTCGAGGATCGGACAGAGCCTAGTGAGAGGAAATGAAGTCACTGAGGGTGTGGCCTTGATGGGGATATTGAAACCCTGGCCCCTTTTCTCCTTTTCCACTTCCTGAGCAACTAGCTCCACTTCATGTTTCCCGCCGTGATGTACTGCCTTGCCACAGGTCCCCCAAAGAGGCAACTGATCACAGACTGAAAACTCTAAAACCAAAGGCTAAAATAAACCTTTCCACTTTTAAAAACTGATTATATTATGTATTTTGTCACAGTAATGGAGATCTGCCCAAAACAAATGCAATACTCTAGAAATCTTTTATTACTCATTTTTTAAAAGTGGTTTTGTTTTTTTTTTTTTTAAATAAACTGAGCCATATCGGGTAACTAATATAGTTCCAGCTGAGGTAGGCAGAGGAAAGGAGAAAGTTGCCATCCTGGTATTATACCTATAACAGTAACCCCAAAGATCCAGCCCTTTTATACCTTCCTGGCTTGATTCAGTCAATACATATTTATGGAGTAGATATTCTGGAACTGCTCCAGTGCTAGAAGCTGAGAGTCAAGTAATGAGCAAGATACAGATAATATTCCAAACATTTACATTTCATTTTCAGGCCAATCTTAGGAAGTGGATACTCTAGGTTCATTTTTTTGAGGCACAGAAACTGAAGCACAAAGAAATTCATTTGCTTGCCCATGGTAGCTGCGTTAGGTATGGGATGGAGCCAGGTCTCTAGTCCAGGCAGGCTGGCCAGCTCTCATGTTGACACAGTCTCTCCTCTGCAGATAACCAGAGCTTGTCTGCACCACATTTGCTTTGCCCAGGCCTGATCATGAGACACCTGTGGTGCCTAATACAACCACTAACTTGGAGATTTTCATTTAGTAGCTCTGGGATGGGCCTTGAGAAACTGGTTTTGATTTCTGGAGAGGGATATGCTTCTTAATTGAAATCCTTGGTTTTGATTTTACAGTTAATTAATTGTAGCAAATATCTACATTTTTTCAAACATGCTGCACTTTTTTTCATCAATGCTTCCTTTATACCTGCAGATTTTTCTGTAAGTGCCTACTCTTTTTAACCAATAGAGTCCTTTCCTATGGCCCAGTTTCTATCCAAATAAGGATCAAGAGCACCTCACAGCTAGCTCCTCCCTGCTGAATCACATTCATTTTACCAGAACTTACATCTTCCTTTCTCCAAGACCACACTGGGATCTATAGGCAAGGTTGCATCTTATGTACTTTTGTAATTGTGACTACTGATGAATAGTTTTAGTATTTTTTGACTATTTATTAAATGAACGGGAGGAAATAAAATCTCATCTTCTTTGCTTAATTTGACTCAATAGATTGTATTTTTAAAGTCCCAAATCTTAGGAGGATGAAGTTCATTAATCTGTGTTAGACAACTGGCAGACCTGGCAAGGGCATCTCAATTTGTTTTCTTTGGTATTGATTTTTATTAAATTACTGAATCTTTTATACTGTTTAAAAATTGGAAGAATTTAACAACAAATCTCCAGCTTCTCCTGAAATATTAGGTCATATTGAGCTCTGTTTCCATGAAGCAGCCACTGGCTGAGGCCAAGGAGTCCTGGCTCCCTCAGAACAAGCAGAGCCCATAAAGGTTCTCTCCTAGATTACTGCTGGGCCTTGTGGGCCCTGGAATTTGCAGGAACCCCATTCCTCCATCCCTGGACCGCAGACCCTGTCAGCACTTTTTAAAGTGTTTTAACTGGATCAGGCTGAGATTAATCTGATAAAAAGAGGCTTTTATTTTGGGGCAGAGAAAAGAAATATTAAGAAATTGGAACCAGGTTTCCAAACTCTTAGATTTCCTATGAGTATCCGAGATGTCACTACTCTGCTTTTACCTTCAGCTTTTGTGAGTAAAAAAAGTCAAAATAATAATATCTCACAGAGGTATCAAGAGTTACAGATTTCCCTATAAATTTGAGGGTACTTGTACATCACCCCCTGCTCAAGTTGCCCTTCAGATTTCACCTAAATACACCAGACCTGTTTAAGGTTTCAGTGAAAGTTCACACTCTTAAGAATCTTTCCCCAAGACTAAAATTCACAAGGAAATATGCATTTTCTAAAGTCAGTTCTATGGGCTGAAGCAGGGAAAGAGAAAAATGAAAATTTTAGAGAAAGGCCTCAGTGGTTTACGCTGGCTTCTAGCATTAGAGATGAAGCAGCTATGTGACTTTGGAAAGTGTGGAGGTGGAAGAAGCCCACCTTTTAACTCAAAGCACGCAACAGCTGCTTTCCCTAAATGTATTTGCCAGACAAGAGAACAGATGTTTATTTTTCCCCTTAGGGCATCATTATTCTTATGGCAGGAAATTTTCTTTCTCTCCTTCCACAAAGTACATTCTACAAGCTGCAGGATACAGCAGCCAACTAGCCCATGCCTCTCTCCATTCTGCATTAATTCTCAGCCTTGCTTGTCACATTACACCACGACTCAAACTTCCTGAGCAGGCCCAGTGGGGACATAGAAACATTTTCGTTAAGAGCCTAGTGGTCAGTGATGCAGAGGTTCAGAATGGTGGAACTGATTACTAATGAGGCATGAGAAAATCAGAAATATTTTACAACTCTTATAATCTGCTTCCTTGATCATCACATGGAAATTCAACTTTATGTTGGCTTTGGAGAGACTTAGGATAAAGGTGATTTTAAGTAAAAGGTATTATTACCTATTATTCTTGCTTACCATTTCATAAAACAAAGTATTGTACACTTTGCTAATAGCAGGGAACAAAGTATGTGGTATTTCTAAGATAGGATATGTTTATGCAATTCTAGAATTGCATAGCTTCTCCTTTTAATATAGGCTTTATGTGTTAGAATATGCAAGGTGAGATTTTTAAATTTGATTCTTTTCAGGAAACTATAATTTACTGGGTTATGATCTTAGACTAACAGAAATGACACAGTTTAAAGATTCTGTATAATAATAAGGTATATAAATAGAAATATATACATGTTGAAATATACAGTTCAAAACCCCTGCAACTATAATGCCATCTAATACCATTAAGTGCTGCCTATGTCTTTATATGATAGTACAACACCTATGAAGTTTCAGGTAGCAGTGTTTAGATATTGTGTTGCTTAATTCAAATATGGTTAGGCACTCGTACAGCTATAGTTTCAATTTGTGTCAAATTAACAAAATTTGGAATGCAAAAAAAATAGACAAAACGCATTGGATTAAAGACTCAACTTACCAAACAGATTAGTGGTACACACACACACACACACACACACACACACACACACACACGAAGTACAATCAAAAACTGAAATTTAAACAATGACTACTTAAGTTTAAAAAAATCTGTTTTCTCTCCCTCTCTTTGAGCACATTTATCTTATCATTCTTGCCACCTTCTGAAGCAGTTCTGGAAGACCTCTTGCACTTGTGTCTTCTTGCACTGTCATGGCTGCCTTGATGTCCTGAATCAATTGAAAATGCTTACCTTTCATGGTAATTTGATTTTGGGGAAGAGTCCAATCCAGTGAAAAAGATGGATGTGGACACATCATGATGTTTTTATTGACAGAAATTGCTGTACTAGAAATGACACGTGACATAGAGCATTGTCATGATGGAGGATAAAACTGTTTGCTCACTCCTCGGGTCATTTTCTATACATATGGTTTCTTAAACGCTTAACAGGCCTTTATAATATTCAGAATTCCCAGTAGTGTTTCTGGGTACAAACTCCCCATGAACAATTCCATCAAGGTCAAAAATACAATCAACATCACTTTGAGGTTAGATCTTGATTAACATTTGCTTTTTTCATACCAGGAGAGCTTAATTGATTTCATCTGAGAACTCTGAACTTTGGTCAGGATCATAACTATAGACCCAAGTTTCATCTCCCATGATGACAATTCTTAAAATGCTGGAATCTAAAGAAATATAATTGCCAAATCCACTGAAATGAGGTCCATGATTTATAGTACATTAAAACACATCTTCTCTCAATCATTGCTTATAACTGCACTGAACAAGTTGAAACCCAAACACATACTATTATTAAGGTGTGATGTGCTGCTTCTGGTAGTGAAGATCCCCACCTTTCTGTAGGATGGCATTCAGCAGCTGCATTAAAAACACATATACATATTTTTCACCTTGAGTCTTTTATTTCATCATTCTTTTTTTGTATTAATTTCTTTTATTGGTACATTGTAGGTATACAAGACAATTACATTTCTCATTGGGAATTGTACCTTTACATAATGCAT